TAAAAATATGTTGATAAACTTTTAGCTTTAAAGAAGTTGGAGAAGTGAATATTCCGTTTGTTTCCGTTGCTCGTAGTTGAATGTATTGTTCCTACATAAGTTTCCTAAGATTCAATAACGTGATTGAATAAGTTTTAGTAAGTTGCAGAAGTTAGTGAGTGAGTTGTTTCGTTGATATTTTAGCTTGAATTACAACGAAGCTATTTCGTGTTAAAGAACTTGAGATTAACTTTGTACTTCGCTGCAGTAATGATACAAGCGTCGTGAACTCGTTTAGCAAATGCTAGTCGTCGTAAATTCTCACTGACTGGGTTCGCTCGTACCTTCAGTTTATGTTTTTTAATCACGTGATTGGATCCTGAGAGCATTGTTTTTTCGTCAGGTCAAAAACTAGGTTGATGTTATTTGGACGTAGTGGTGAGCAGGTAAATTGTTTTTTTAATATCTGTTAACTACTCAGAAAGCACCTTACAAAACTCAGTCTGGAGCCTGATATTTTTTGTGTTGCTTATTGAGAACAATGCACGTGAAGATATACGAGATAATTTTAATATTTATTGTCCAATGAGAAGTTCAGGTTTTCAGAAACATGTATGAAGATGTGATCCGCTTTTTGCACGAAAATCGACATTGATGAAAAAGTGGTAGTGGACAGCTAAAAATTCATAAACACAACTTCTTCCATTTCCCAAACTAGACTTATAATTCCCAAACACAATTAACTATTCATAAACACCACTTCCAGTTCCCAAACTAAACTAGCACTTCCCAAAATAAAATTCCAATTCTCAAACACAACTTCCAGGTCATGAACACAACTTTCAGTTCTAAAATATAACTTTCAGTTTCTAAAGTGAACTTTTACTTCCTAAACTAATCTTCCACTTTCCAAACACAATTTCTCATTCTTAATCTAGACTTACAGTTCTCAAACTAAAATTTACAATCTTATACACATCTTCCAGTCCCCAAGCACAATTTGCAATTCCAAAAGGCACATTCTAATTCCCAAACTAAAATTCCAGTTCCTAAACATAACTTCCATTTACCAAAGTAAACTTCAAGTTCTAAAACATATCTTCCAGTTCCCAAACTAAAATTCTAGTTCATAAACACAACTTCCAATTCTCAAACATAATTTCTCTGATGGGTGCCTACAAAAGTATCACCTCCATGTCATTACACTATTTCTTTCTACCATACACCTTCCCTCCAGCACATCCTTTCCTTTTCATAGCAGCAGTGGGCAAATGTGCTAATTACATCCTGTAACTGCCACAATCAGCAACACCTGGGACGACTGGTGGACCATAACATAAAGGTTTGAAAATTTTAAGTAGCACCAATTGGACGAGTGCCACCAATCAAAAAGCAGAGTTGTGAGGGAAAATATATAGTCAGTTGCAGAGGTGGATTGAATCCATGTAGATGTCATCATAATCTACACAAGAAAATATCTGGCAGAACAAGAAATCAGAAATATAAGGTATACCAGCCATAAAAAGGCTGAAGCATGGCAAGATCAGAAAAACATATATCTTCCGCCCATGATAATTGAAAAAGTCCATTTCTGTTATCCCATCTGTCAACACAATTTAATGCAACTCTGGAGACAACAAATCTGGGAAGAGAAAATCTTCCACACAAAAGAATCACAGATGGATTCCTGAATTGAATCAAGTTGAAAGGAATGGTAGCTCCCAAACTAAGATCATAAGAGAGAAATTAAAAGGGAAGAAAGATATTTCAGAAAAAAAGGGGGAGAAAAAAATATAGTTCTGAAAGAACTAGGGAAAAGAAAAGAACTCGTAAACAGATAAGTTTGTTCATCCCTGCCCATAGTTTTCCAGCACACATCCATATACTAATAAAGTATTCCATGCATTCATCATTACATGAAAATATTAAGGTTCCTCAAACTGATTCACTATATTTATTCATTCAATATTGATAGATGTTGTAACTAGATTTTATTTTGATCATCTCTCCTAGTTTTGGTTATTTATTTCCTTTTTGTTTTCCCTGTTATCATTAAAATTTAAGATAAGCTAATCATTGTGTTGTCTCATTCCTGAGGGTAGATCTGTTAAATTCCGCTTTCACTCCAAGTGGGTCGAAGAGGAATCCGGGACTAGATGATTTCTACTATATTTATATATATATATATATATATATATATATATATATTTTTTTTTTTTTTCTTTACATTGCAATGCTAATGAAGAAATTTAAATATTATGAATATTTACAGTTGAAGGGAGATAATCCTGATTTCTCTTCATCTTTAAATCCATAATACCTCCAACGTAACTGAATAAAACTTACAGTTCCTAAACAAAGCTTAAAATTCTCATACTAAACTTTCACTTCCCAAACAAAAGTTCCACTTTTGAAACAAATCCACCTCCTCTTAAATAAATCTTTCTGTACCCAACTAAACTTTCAATTTCTAAAATAAACTTCAGTTTCACCAATCAAATCCCCCAAAGTAGATTCCAAAGCAATTAATACATTAGAACATTTGGTGATCACAATGTGATATGAACACACAAACAATAGGTGAACTTTCAAAGAAAGGATCATTCTCCCATTTGTATTACCCCTAATATTATATGCATGATAAATAACACTTATATTTTACAGAATAGAATGGCTGCAAGGAAAATGAAGAAAAACATGCTTCATTTACAGAGAGAGTTTTATACCACTAAGACATACACAAAATTATATATAAATATTTACACATCCCACATAGAGAAAATATGACATAGCAAGCAGAGTGAAAAAAAAAAAAAAACTAAAACATAGGGTTTACATATAATATAGAGATTCTTCAGTGTTTCTGGAGAAGCTATGTTTAAAACGCCAGATTTAAGTGAGCCAGATAGATAGTATCTTTCAAGGGAAACAGATCCATGAACTTGTAAGCTGCCGATGGAGGCAGATTTAGCTTCAGTACAGGCTCCTTGGCTCAGGTTAAAAAAGCATCCATGTGGTTTGACTCCTGCAAGCTGACTGAAAGGGAGATAATCACCTTTTGTATCCCTACAATACAATTGTTTGCATTATCAATTCATATTATTCACAGGACATATATATATATATATATATATATATATATATATATATATATATATATATATATATATATATATATATATATATATATATATATATATATATATATATATATATATATATATATATATATATATTGGTATGTATTGATACAAAGAAAGAAATGGTTTCAGGCTTATCTGTATGAAGAAGTATCTTTCTTGTGAGCTCATTCCAACAGCTGTCAGCTAGAGAAATTGAGAGATTTTGTATTTTCAAGCCAAAACTGTATTTCTAGTATATTATAGGAATTCTACTTCCCTTCCTTTGCTATAACCTAACAAGCCAGAGGATGCAACTTCTGCTTCTTATTTATGAATCACAATGTACACTTCACACACACACATGCACATATTCATAAATTGTCTTTAAAAGAACCTCTCTTGAATTTCCAAATGATAAAGTCAAAGACAAACATTGCTCTTATGATATAAACATAAGTACCATTTGAAATAGTCACATTTTAATTACTCAAGAACCTTCACCCAATCTACTATTTGGAATGGCTTAAGTGACTGTTGATGTTTGTTTCATTAATTAGATGAAAGTTGCACACTCACCAGATAAATTTAAACGACCATGGGGGAAATGCATAAGTAGGAAGTAGCGTTTCATCTAATTGATCACTATTTCTTTTCTGTCCTTTATTACTATACGGCTCACCATTTCTATTCTATACTCTATTACTATTCAGATCACTGTATGGATTACTATTCGGTTGCTACTATTCAAGCAATTATTATCGAGCAAGTACATGCAAGTGATATTCGAAGGTGTCTGACACCAGTATTGTTCAATGGCATTACTATAGTTGTATCTGCAATTACAAAGTCTCTACTACAACAAGCATCTCAAAAGTGACAACAAGTATTCATTGACATTACAAAAGTGGCAACAAGTGTTTGTTGACATCACAAAAACATGGTTTCTCCTTATTTTTTGTGGTTTTGTTCCTATATAGTTCACACCTAATTTGCTTCATGCTATATGATACCATATCCAATGTTGTGTTGGTGCTTTTGGCAGGCCTATTGACAACAAATTAATATTTAATTTGTTAACTCAGTTTTTCCCATAGCAATGGCATTATTTCTGAACTTTTCTTAATGAATATACTTAGCTAAGTCAATGAATTTCATAGTATAATTTCTTTGAAGCAATAGATGCAATTTAATTTTATTGATTTAAGATGATACCAATTTAATTATAGCCCAGCTAATTTAAGGATTAAATGGGGCACTTTAAAAATATTTTTCACATTTTGCAAAACTCAAGACAAAAGTTTGATTAAAAAATATATAAAACAGTTTAATTAATAAATATATGAAGGACTTTTAATTCTTATTTACTATTCAGGAGAAAGCATTAGAAGCAATAAAGCCGAAAATACAACAATCAGCTCAAATAATTTTTATTTTCATTTATTTAATTCTTCATTGAGATTACTTTCCGAAAAATTATTATTATGACATTAATTATTATTATGGCATTAATTATTATTATGACATTAATTCATAGTGCTTTTTATTTTGCCTTATTTTATCAAGAATTTTTTCTTTTACTTATTACAATTGAATTCTTTTATTATTTAAAAATGGGGATTTTTCTTTTGAACATAAAACTGTATATAAGTCTATTGCACTTCTGAATTTGATATTTCTGATCAAGCAAATAAAATAAATTAGATTCTCCATGAACATAATAAATATTCCAATTAATTTATGTATTTGTTTATGTTCTGTTGTAGTATTGTTTTCTTACTTTCTCCTTCATTTTGTTATGCTCTATTCCATCTCCTTTACTGACTCCTAGGCATTTTCATTATTATTATTATTATTATTATTATTATTATTATTATTATTATTATTATTTTGCTTATTCAGGAACAACAACTGAATATGAGATTCCTTATGATGATGTGCAAAATACATCAATCAACCAAAGTAAGTTTTTTATTCATTTCTTTTATCATTTTTCATCTAAAACTGATTTCTTTCCTATAGAATATCATTTTTTAATACTATTTTCATTTATTTCATCAAGATTTTTTCTTAAATTTATCTTAATCAGTTAACACCATTTAAAATTGTTCATCCTATAATAATGAGACATAATATTATTTCAATAAACAAAGTATGCATAGAAAAAAGTTTTTTCAAAATATTGTAACAGTTCTGGTTTCTTTATTTTATAAAAATCAAAATTAATTTACTAAAAGCAAAAAATGTGGTTATGTCATTAACAAAAGACTGTTATACTTTAATTCCTATAATCAAAGAAAATAAATGTTTCATCTGAAATCTTTCTTACATTTATACTTTGCAAATTTCTATTGCATTCTTATTTTATGATTGAGTACAGAGTTTAGGTAAATGGTATTTCTGTTTGACAAAAACAATTTGATGATTTAGATTCTCCAAGGAGTCCCACTTTTAACTAATATAAATGTGAAGAGGTTGAAATTTTAATTTCTGCCAATTTCATAAAATTAAGTAAGTAAAAGAAAAAATATTTTTACCAATATTCAAAAATAATTCTAAAATAATTTAACTCATTTGTGAATAAGTTCTGAAAATTTCATTAAAATCCAAAAATTATTTGATCTTTGCTAGAATTTCCTCAACAATGTGCTTTTAACACCAAAAAAGATGTTAAAATTTCCAATACTAATCTACTGAGGAAAGGAAAACAAGATTTTAACCAAAATTTCTTATGTGATAGAAAGGATAAAAAATTTGATAAAAAAATATTTTGCTCTTTCCTCTTAATAATAACAAAAACATTTTGACAATAAAACTTTGTTTTTATCAAGTTTGGGGCCTTTTTTCATCAGTTCATTTTTGGAAAATATTTATATATTTCTGTTTAATTGTCATGAATTTCTTTTAGATATTTTTTCTATGAAAATGTTAATGTATTTTGAAATTTCTTAGAATTGTTAATATAATCAAATTCTTATTGACATAGTGAACAATAATTCAAGGGAGATAAATGGAGTTAAATATTTTTTGGACAAAATCAATAAATACTTTGGTCATAGATGTAGAGAAGAAAAGGACCACAAAAGTAAATTCATTGTTGAAAGAAATGATGCCTTTAAATATGGAAATATTTACAATTGGTTAATTGACATTCAAAACTGTTGTTGAAGCAATGATCTAATTTGGTAAGAACATTTAATATTCTAATTGAAAGTTAATATTTTTAAAACAAGATATTTTATTTGTGGTATATCTTGTCTCTTCAAGTTAATATGAAATATATTAATTAAATCTCTTATAAACTACTGTTAAACAGAAAAAATGAATGCGACGGTGCCAAACCGTTCGTTGCTGTCAAACTCTCCACCTCAATGGAGAGGAACTCGGACAAAGCTTTGTTGAAAGGCAAAGTTTCATCCAGGGAGGTAGACAGGCTCTGAACGTGTTTATACAGGTTCAAAGGGAATATTTTTGGCTGAGCCTACAGGCTCAGAGAACCCACAATAAACCGGCCTTGTGCCACATATGACCCACGTGAGTGGGTGGCATTAAATATAACAGAAAAACTGAATTTCTTTGTAAACTTGAAAATATTTATCAAATATAAATACAAAATATTATACTGGCCAAAGGTCAACTTTTATTTGAAGTGTAAAGATATTATAAAGACTGAGAAGATTAAATCTTTCAGATGCAAAATTATTGTTCATTCATTTCTGGACTTTGTTGACATTTTTGAACTTTCTTTGAACACTGATCTTCTTCTTACAAAGATTTTACACTCCTTCGCAATTAGATCTCATTCTTATTCATTCTGCCCATTGGCAGAAGATGAAATAACAAAAGTCATCTTCTATGCATTGTTCCATGCAACATGTCTGGTCTACAAAGTGAACCTGAGCTTAAAAGCAGGCTCTGAGGATGATCAAACACAGTTGTGGCCTAGCAAAACTGCCGGCTGTCACTACTGCTGCAATTTCTGCCATGATGCCATCAACATGACAACAGAATTGCAGACTGGCCACCATGCAAAGTACTACTACTGCCACAATTACTCAACATGACTACACATTTCAATGACCGTTAACACTGCCTGGCTTGACATACCTCCTCAGTTATCCAGTTTTCAATTCAATATTTCTACCTCAATTGCTCCCAGCTACAAGCCTTCATTGATACCAGTACATGCCGTCACCTTGGCCTACATCAACATAACTTGACTCATTTACAAGGCACTCCCTTCGCAGTCAATGCAATGACCTCTGTTCCACAGAATAGCTCTACCACAACTCATTTGCAGGGTATTCCCTTCACAATTGATGCAACTTCCTCTGTTCCACAGAACTGGCCTCCTAAAACAACCTACCTACGTCAGCCTACCTCAACATACTTCAGCCTAACACAACTCATTTAAAAGACACTCCATTCACAGTCGACCCCAGCAACATACATTCCACAGAACAGCTCTAACTCAACTTGCTTACAAGGCACTCTCTTTGCAGTTGATGCAGCAGCTTTCATTCCACAGAACAGCTCTACTTCAACTCGCTTACAAGGTGTTCCCTTCACAGTCAATGCATTGACCTCCATTGCACAGCTCTATCTTGACTCGCTTATTTTTTAAACAGAAATTGACATTGCAATATTAATGTTAAATGTAATAAGTGGGTATTATGAGCACTTGGTCTGCTAAAATGCTAATAGGTGGTACTGTTTATGCATCATAAAAAGAAAAACATATCTTTTCTCGAAATTTAGACAAAGGCATTGCAACTGATTAACATTTATGGCTAACTGATGAGTGAACACTTTAAGACATACAGACATACAAACATACACAGACATACAAAATTGTTAATAACTAAGTTTATAATTTCTTTTTTTCCTTTTCAAATGTGTATACACTAATGTACTTTCTCACTGAGATATGATATTACTAAGTCAAAATATTATTGACAATCTTGTCAGTTGTCTTATCATAAAGATTTTTATGATTAATACAACTAAGATTTAAAAGAAAATTTGATCAGCCTTGAAATAAGAACTTTTGCTTTAGATCAGAAAGAGTCATATGAAATTTTCAGAATAAATAATGTGGAAAGAGGGCTTGGAGATTTTGACACTCACAAGAACTTATTGAATGGAAAACAGGCAGAGGGAAGTAACATTCCTAATGACTTTGTATAAATGGATGACAAAACATGATCAGGGTGGAATGGAAAGGGGAAATCCATTGTATAGTGCTACAAAGGGAAGGAAGATATCAAAAGCTAAGATTATATTTGCTCTGCAAAGACATGGCACATAAAAGTAAAAGTATCTTTTGTGTAACAACCAATATCCATCTTAGCTTGCAGCTTTATTCTCAAGGCAGTTTCAAGAAACATTGTACCAAACACCTAGCCGCATACAAATTGTACGAATTTATTTTCACAAACTTGTAATCCTTGTTTGACAGCTACATCTATACTATATAAAAATTTTTGGTATAAATTATCAGAAAACTATTTAATTTACAAGACCTTTAGAACAACATTTAACTAATATTTTGATCCTAATTACTTTTCTTTAACTATTCTGATGACAAGTTAATGCTTAATACAAATTGCAAATTACAATCTTGTGGCTTTCATTGGAAACCATTGTTGGCACTTTGGTATGCTTTTCTTGACACTAAGAAAGTTATATTATACTCAGAAGGTTATTTTACTCAAGTATTCTTTTTGTTTTTCTTCATATATATCTCTGAAATGTTTTATGAAAATTTCATTAATACCCAAACAAATTGTCTATGCATGCATTTTTTATTAAACTTGGTCAAAAATTTTTCTTTGCAACCATGTAAATAATCATTAATGCTAATATTCTACTTCAAACTACAAATTCAGGAAAGAAAGATGGAAATCAACCTGAATACGTCAAAATTATAGACAATACAACTGCCAAAGGTAATAACAAGTTTTAGCAATAATTACTAAGTAATATATGTTTCAAAGATTCTCACAATACAAAGGAAAAACATCTTTTTTCTTTTGTTACTGTAAAGATATAACCATTGTATTTTATGTTGTCTTTCTCTTCCCTGTTATAAATGCTTATCTGTTTCTGAATATCCTTACACATAATTGAACATACCTCTTTTAGTAAATAGCTGATATTTAACTTACATACTAACCAATATGTCTGTCACATGCTGTCAATCAAGCTTTTGCCACTTGATTATTCTTGTAAGAATGTTCTTGCAATGTGGGAAGTAGGAAATATTTCAGCATAGTTTAGTTGTGAAATTACAATCAAGACTATGAACAAACAGTTATTGTGATGTTTCCCTTCAGACTTTCTTTTGTTTTTGATAAAGATAGAAATCCTGGATTGTAAAGGTTTTGCTTCTCTGACAGGTTAATACATAATGAAATTGTTGCATTATTTCATCTATTCTTCTTTAAATTGTCAGATTTGTGAATGATTGAAGGAAGAGTTAGAAAAAATGAATTTTCATTTATGTGCATTGTCCCTTCAGTATAAGAGAGATCATGACTCCATAACTTCTTAGCTCTTATGAAAACTTTACAAGTTGTAATGGCAAAATACTGGGAAACTTCAGTAGATCTACCTACTTAGTCATACCAATGCAGTCAGGTGCAAATGAACATCAACTCCATAAGGCCATCCACTTAATATGCCAACTAAATTTATAATTTCTAACAAATAGAGCCCATAGCAGAATTAAGCCAGAAATAGGATTCAAACAGTGTGACATTTATTCAAGATACTGGAACAAGAAATGCTATTAGTCTATGCAATAGAAATATTCACTCTGCAAGGACATGGCACATAAAAGTAACACTATCTAACAACCAATATTCATCGTAGCTTGCTGCTTTATTCCCAAGGCAGTTTCAAGAAACATTGTATGAACCACCTAGCTGCATAAAAATTATACTAATTTGTTTTCACAAACTTGTAATCTTTGTTTGACAGCTACATCTATACTATATAAATATTTTTGGTATACATTATGAGAAACCTATTTAATTTACAAAACCTTTACAACAACATTTAACTAATATTTTACATTATATTCAGAACAAAATAATGGAAATGAATCTCAATACATTGCAACAATACACAGTTCACTTACCAAATCTAATCACAGGTTTTATTAATCATTGCAAAATAATATATCCTTTAAAGATTCTCATAATATAGAGTGAGAAAATAATGTTTCTTTCTTGGTTTGTTTCTCAGTGTACACCAAAAAATGTAAAATTCACCAGGAACTACACTCTCTTATGCTGAAGATGATAAGTTATTTCGGCAGCTTGAAGCTTTCAATGGAAACCATTGTTGGCTCTTTGGTCTGCTTTTCTTGACAAAGATACTAACAATGTTTTTTTACTCAAGTATTTTTGTTGTTTTTCTCATATATATTTCTGAAATGTTTTATGAAAATTTCATTAATAACCAAACAAATTGTCTAGGCATGCATTTTTTATTAAACTTGGTAAAACAATTTTATTTGAAACAGTGTAAATAATCATTTATGCTAATGTTCTCCTTGTAACTGCAAATTCAGGAAAGAAAGATGGAAATCAACCTGAAAACGTCAAAATTATAGACAAACCAACTGCCAAAGGTAATAACAACTTTTAGCAATCATTACTAAATAATATGTTTGAAAGATTCTCACAGTTCAAAGAAAAAACATCTTTTTTCTTTTATTTCTGTAAAGATGTATCCATAATAATGTATGTTATGTATTTCTCTTCCCTTTTATGGCTGCTTATCGGTATCTGAATTTCCTTATTCATTGTGGAACACACCTCTTTTAGTAACAGTAAAATATCACTCACATGCTATCATTCTAGCTTTTATCACTTTATTATTCTAAAAGATTGTTCTTGTAATGTGAGAATTTGGTTGTGAAACAGAGGATCTTTAGCAATCATTACTAAATAATATGTTTCACATGATACAAAGGAAAAACATCTTTTTTCTTTTGTTACTGTATCGATATAACCATTGTAATTTATGTTGTCTTTCTCTTGCCTGTTATAACTGCTTATCTGTTTCTGAATATCCTTACACATAATTGAACATACCTCTTTTAGTAAATAGATGTTATTTAACTTACATACAGATATTGATAGACTAACCAAAATTACTGTCATATGCTATCAATCAAGCTTTTGCCAATTGAATATGCTTGAAAAAATGTTCTTGCAATGTTGGAAGTAGGAAATATTTCATCATAGTTTAGCTGTGAAACAGACGATCTTTGTGGATGATAGTAAAGATAATGCTTATATGGCAATTCTTCTTTGCATGTGATGTGCTTCATTTGGTTTTGTTATAAGATATATTCTATCATGTCTTATATAACCATTTACAATCAAGACTATGAACAAACAGGTATTGTGATGTTTCCCCTCCTGACTTTCTTTTATTTTTGATGAAGATAGAAATCCTGGATTGTAAATGTTTTGCTTCTCTGACAGGTTAATACATAGTGAAATTGTTGCATTGTTTTATCTATTCTTCTTTAAATTGTCAGATTTGAGAATGATTGCAAGAATAGATAGAAAAAATGAATTTTCATTTATGTGCACTGTCCCTTCAATATATGAGAGATCATGACTCTCCACAACTTCTTAGCTCTTATGAAAACTTTACAATTTGTAATACTGGGAAACTTCAGTAGATCTACCTACATAGTCATACCAATGCAGTCAGGTACAAATGAACATCAACTACAATGTGCCAACTAAATTTATAATTTCTAAAAAATAGAGCCCATAGCAGAATTAAGCCAGAAATAGGATTCAAGCAGTGTGACATTTATTCAAGATACTGGAACAAGAAATGCTATCGGGCTATGCAATGCCAATACTGGAAATCCTGTAAAGTGTTTCATAGATTACAACAAAGCACTTCATAAATTACAACAGATTCATTCTTTGTTCTTTAATCTACTTTTCTTGGGGAATATCCAGAATTATGTTTTACTTAAGAATAAGTTTTTTTCTCTCGTTTATTTTTTAAATATTTTACCAATGTTTCATTACTCCATAATAATCTTTTTCTATAAATTTGTGAAGACAATTTTATTTCCAAAAATATGAACAACTATTTAATTCTAATACAACATTCTACTTTTATTGCATATTTAGGGCAAGCAGATGAAAATAAGCCTCAATACATTGAAATGAAAAACTGTTCACCTATGAAAGGTAAATTCCAAGTTTTATCAATCAATACTAAATAATATAGAGTTTAAAAATTTCCCTGATATTGAGAAAACAATTTTTTTCTGTGTGAGTCAGTAATAAGCTGCAAAGTATTGCGACTTTGTATTCAAATGCCTCTAAATTTTAAAGATCAAAATATCAAGGTACTTTCATACTTGCGTTGCTAACAATAACATCTAGTAAGAATCTCTTTTCCTGTTATCTATACCACAAAACTGTAACATGCACGGTAAATTAGTAAGTTTATCATGAATGCTGTATATTTCCTTTTCCAATTGAGAATTGAACCACAAACCTGCGGCTTCTAAATAAAACTTTCCTGAGGTTTTTCATTTTCCTTAATGTTTTATTAAAACTTATCCTATTCAGTATTTGACCTTTTTTCTTATAAAACTGCAAAAAAGATTATATAAAATATATATCTGAATAATTTTAAGTTCAGAAATGAAAAGACATCAAACTATTGAGACCCATTTCCTTCAGAAGAACATTTTCAGACTAACAACAATTTTAAGGTTATATGAACATGATAGAAAATTTTTACAAAATAATACACACAGTGTATTAGTTGTTCATTGTAATACATCTAATCTTAAGTTCAACTCAAAGAATATATCTCTGATTAAATTATAAATATATTTATTAAAGCCAATTTAACTAATTGTCTATAGATTATTTCTTTAAGATGTAATTTTTAAATATCAATATTAATTTTTAAATAGCAATATTAATTTTTAAATAGCAATATTAATTTATGAATAGCAATATTAATATTAAATGGAAAATTAATATTAAATATAATATTATTATTAAATGTAATATGTGGTCATTATGCCTACTTGTTCTGTCCAAATGCCAATATGTGGCTCTGGTTATGTACTATAAAAAGAAAAACATGTCCCCCACTCTCTTTCTCTCTCACTCTCTCTCTTTTCCTCGATGTAGCAACACTCAGATAAAGGTATCCAAGCTGGTTAACATTCCTTTAACTGGCTTAATGATGAATTGAACTCTTATACACACACACAAACACACATACACACACACAATCATGGATAGCTATGTGTAATGTCATTTTTTCCTTTTCAGTTTTTCAGTTTTTACTTCATATTCATATTCATATTCATATTTCATTAATACTCAAACAAATTGTCTATGCATGCTTTTTTTTATTAAACTTGGTAAAACAATATTTTTTGCAACAATGTAAATAATCATTTATGCTAATATTCTCCTTCTAACTGCAAATTCAGGAAAGAAAGATGGAAATCAGCCTGAATATGTAAACATTATAGACAAGCCAACTGCCAAAGGTAATAACAAGTTTTAGCAATAATTACTAAATAATATGTTTCAAAGATTCTCACAATACAAAGTAAAGACATCTTTTTTTCTTTTGTTACTGTAAAGATATAAACATAGTAATTTATGATATGTCTTTCTCTTGCCTGTTATAACTGCTTATCTGTTTCTGAATATCCTTACACATAATTGAACATACATCTTTTAGTAAATAGATGTTATTTAACTTACATACTGATATCGATAGACTAACCAAAATCACATGTTCTCAATCAAGCTTTTGCCACTTGATTATACTTGAAAGAATGTTCTTGCAATGTTGGAAGTAGGAAATATTTCATTATAGTTTAGTTGTGAAAAAGATGATCTTTGTTGGTGATAGTAAAGATAATGCTGATATGGCAATTCCTCTTGGCATGGAATGTGCTTCTTTTGGTTTTGTTATTAGATATATTCTATCATGACTTATATAACCATTTACAATCAAGACTATGAACAAACAGGTTTTGTGATGTTTTCCCTCCTGACTTATTTTTGTTTTTGTTAAAGATAGAGATCCTGGATTGTAAAGGTTTTGCTTCTCTGACAGGTTAATACATAGTGAAATTGTTGCATTATTTCACCTATTCTTTTTTAAATTGTCAGATTTGTGAATGATTGCAGGAATAGATAGAAAAAATGAAATTTCTTTTATGTGTATTATCCCTTCAATAAATTAGAGATCATGACTCTCCACAACTTCTTAGTTCTTATGAAAACTTTACAAGTTGTAATGGCAAAATACTGGGAAACTTCAGTAGATCTACCTACATAGTCATACCAATGCAGTCAGGTATAAATGAATATCAACTACATTAAGCCATGAACTTAATGTGCCAACTAAATTTAAATAGAGCCCATAGCAGAATTAAGCCAGAAATAGGATTCATTTATTCAAGATACTGGAACAAGAAATGCTATCGTGCTATGCAATGCCAATACTGGAAATCCTATAAAAATTTCATAGATTACAACAAAAGCACTTCATAAATTACAACAGATTCATTCTTTGTTCTTTAATCTACTTTTCTTGGGAATATCCAGAATTATGTTTTACTTAAGAATAAGTTTTTTCTCTCGTTTATTTTTTAAATATTTTACCAATGTCATTACTCCATAATAATCTTTTTTCTATAAATTTGTGAAGACAATTTTATTTCCAAAAATATGAACAACTATTTAATTCTAATACAACATTCTACTTTTATTGCATATTTAGGGCAAGCAGATGAAAATAAGCCTCAATACATTGAAATGAAAAACTGTTCACCTATGAAAGGTAAATTCCAAGTTTTATCAATCAATACTAAATAATATAGAGTTTTAAAATTTCCCTGATATTGAGAAAACAATTTTTTTCTGTGTGAGTCAGTAATAAGCTGCAAAGTATTGCGACTTTGTATTCAAATTCCTCTAAATTTTAAAGATCAAAATATCAAGGTACTTTCATACTTGCGTTGCTAACAATAACATCTAGTAAGAATCTCTTTTCCTGTTATCTATACCACAAAACTGTAACATGCACGGTAAATTAGTAAGTTTATCATAAATGCTGTATATTTCCTTTTCAGCTCAAGAATTGAACCACGAACCTGTGACTTATAAATAAAACTTTCCTGAGGTTTTTCATTTTCCTTAATGTTTTATTAAAACTTATCCTATTCAGGGTTTGACCTTTTTTCTTATAAAACTGCCAAAAAGATTATATAAAATATATATCTGAATAATTTTAAGTTCAGAAATGAAAAGACATCAAACTATTGAGACCCATTTCCTTCAGAAGAACATTTTCAGACTAACAACAATTTTAAGGTTATATGAACATGATAGAAAATTTTTACAAAATAATACACACAGTGTATTAGTTGTTCATTGTAATACATCTAATCTTAAGTTCAACTCAAAGAATATATCTCTGATTAAATGAGAAATATAATTATTAAAGCCAATTTAACTAATTGTCTATAGATTATTTCTTTAAAATGTAATTTTTAAATAACAATTCTAATTTTTAAATAGCAATATTAATATTAAATGTAATATTAATATTAAATGTAATATGTGGTCATTATGCCTACTTGTTCTGTCCAAATGCCAATATGTAGCTCTGATTACGTACTATAAAAAGAAAAACATGTCCCCCCCCACTCTCTCTCTCTGTTTTCCTCAAAGATGTAGCAACACTCAGACAAAGGTATCCAAGCTGGTTAACATTAATTTAACTGGCTGAATGATGAATTGAAATCTTACACACACACACACACACACACACACACACACACACACACACACACACACACACAATTATTGATAGCTATGCGTCATGACATTTTTTCCTTTTCAGTTGTGTATACATGAATGTATTTTCTCTCTTCTTAATGCATTTAATAACTGCTGTTTGTTTAAATTCGTTTTTTGCTTTACTTGTACCCAAATTCACATGAGTTCACCAAATATTGTTTGCAGTACAAATGTACCAAGAGACATTAAAAAAATAACCCACATTCTCACAAAACATATTAACTTTTTATGTAAGATCTTGATATTACCAAATCAAAATATTATTGACAATTTTGTCAATTTTCTCATCATAAAAACTTTTACTATTAATATCACTAAGATTTAAAAGAAAATTTGATCAGCCTTGAAATAAGAACTTTTGCTTCAGATCAGAAAGAGTCATATGAAATTTTCAGAATAAATAATGTGGAAAGAGGGTTTGGAGATTTTGACACTCACAGGAACTTACTGAATGGAAAACAGGCAGAGGGAAATAACATTCCTAATGACTTTGTATAAATGGAAGACAAAACATCATCAGGGAGGAATGGAAAAGGGAAATCCATTGTATAGTACAACAAAGGGAAGGAAGATATGAAAAGCTAAGATTCTATTTGCTCTGCAAGGACATGGCACATAAAAGTAAAAGTATCTTTTGTGTAACAACCAATATCCATCTTAGCTTGCAGCTTTATTCTGAAGGCAGTTTCAAGAAACATTGTACCAAACACCTAGCTGCATACAAATTGTACTAATTTATTTTCACAAACTTGTAATCCTTGTTTGACAGCTACATCTATACTATATAAAAATTTTTGGTATAAATTATCAGAAAACAATTTAATTTACAAGACCTTTAGAACAACATTTAACTAACATTTTGATCCTAATTACTTTTCTTTAACTATTCTGATGACAAGTTAATGCTTAATACAAATTGCAAATGACAATCTTTTGGCAGCATGTGGCTTTCATTGGAAACTAATGTTGGCTTTTCTTGACACTAAGAAAGTTGTATTATACTCAGAAGGTTATTTTACTCAAGTATTCTTGTTGTTTTTCTTCATATATAATTGTGAAATGTTTTATGAAAATTTCATTAATACCCAAACAAATTGTCTATGCATGCATTTTTTATTAAACTTGGTAAAACAATTTTATTTACAACAATGTAAATAATCATTTATGCTAATATTCTACTTCTAACTGCAAATTCAGGAATGAAAGATGGAAATCAACCTGAATACGTCAACATTATAGACAAGCCAACTGCCAAAGGTAATAATAAGTTTTAGTAATCATTACTAAATAATATATGTTTCAAAGATTGTCACAATGCAAAGGAAAAACATCTTTTTTCTTTTGTTACTGTAAAGATATAACCATTGTAATTTATGTTGTCTTTCTCTTCCCTGTTATAACTGCTTATCTGTTTCTGAATATCCTTACACATAATTGAACATACCTCTTTTAGTAAATAGATGTTATTTACCTTACATACTAACCAATATGTCTGTTACATGCTGTCAATCAAGCTTTTGCCACTTGATTATTCTTGAAAGAATGTTCTTGCAATGTGGGAAGTAGGAAATATTTCATCATAGTTTAGTTGAGAAACAGACGATCTTTGTCGGTGATAGTAAAGATAATGCTAATATGGCAATTCCTCTTTGCATGGAATGTGCTTCATTTGGTTTTGTTATTAGATATAATCTATCATGTCTTATATGATCATTTACAATCAAGACTATGAACAAACAGATATTGTGATGTTTCCCCTTCAGACTTTCTTTTCTTTTTGATCAAGATAGAAATCCTGGATTGTAAAGGTTTTGCTTCTCTGACAGGTTAATAGATAGTGAAATTGTTGCATTGTTTCATCTATTCTTCTTTAAATTGTCAAATGTGGGAATGATTGGCGGCAGAGATAGAAAAATGAATTTTCATTTATGTGCATTGTCCCTTCAGTATATGAGAGATCATGACTCTCCACAACTTCTTAGCTCTTATGAAAACTTTACAATTTGTAATGGAAAAATAATGGGAAACTTCAGCAGATCTAACTACATAGTCATACCAATGCAGTCAGATGCAATTGAACGTCTACTACATTAAGCCATTAACTTAATGTGCTAACTAAATTTATAATTTCTAACAAATAGAACCCATAGCAGAATTAAGTCCGAAATAGGATTCAAACAGTGTGACATTTATTCAAGATACTGGAACAAGAAATGGTATTAGTCTATGCAATAGAAATATTCGCTCTGCAAGGACATGGCACATAAAAGTAACACTATCTTTTGTGTAACAACCAATATTCATCTTAGCTTGCAGCTTTATTCCCAAGGCAGTTTCAAGAAACATTGTATCAACCACCCAGCTGCATAAAAATTGTACTAATTTATTTTCACAAATTTGTAATCCTTGTTTGACAGCTACATCTACACTGCTTACCAAATTATTATCGAGATAACTTTTTTTTTAATATTTTAAAAACTGTCCAATCAATTCACACAAAATTTTCACACAATGTTGGCAATCCTGACTTGCACAAGCACTGACATTTTTGTACTTATCTGTGCAATTTAAACAAACTGGCGCCATATTTGTTATCAGCAATGTGATTTGAGCGTGCCATATTATTAGAAAAGGGTAAGAATTTAGTGAAAAGATGGGCCATAAAAGCAGTTTAAGTGATGCTGAAAAGAAAACTATCACCTCAGAACTCTCAAAAGGTAAATCTACCCTAGAAATTTCAAAAATGATAATGAGGTGTCATCAAACAGTGAAAAAGTTCACCGCTGACCCTACACAAGTGCGTAAAAGGGCAGATAAAGGCAAGCCGGGTGTTATTTCACGTCGTCTCATGTCATGACTTAAATGATAGGCCATGAAGGACCCTGGACTTACCAGTCAAGAGCATTTCAGTCGTATTGGGGATCCTACTGTGTCTAAAAGTACTTAGTGTCGGTATCTGAGGGAAACAGCAACAACAGTTAAACTTGTATCGAAGCCTCCGTTGACAAGAAATCACATTCAAAATCAACTGAAATGGGCTAAGGACAATATGAAGATTGACTTCTCTAAAGTTTTGTTCACAGACGAAACTCAAGCAACACTTGATGGGCCAGAGAGATGGTGCAAAGACTGGGTAATGAATGGACAGAATCGCCATCAGCATTTGAGGCACCAACAAGGCGGTGGAGGCATAATGATCTGGGGTGGTATTATTGGAAAAACATTAGTGGGCCCATGGAGAGTACCAGATGGTGTCAAAATGACTCCTGATGCATACATAGCGTTTATGAAGGAGCATCTTGAACCGTGGATGAAAAGGCAAAGAATTGCCTTCAGAAGGGCTATTGTTTTTATTCAAGATAATGCCTCCTCACATGCTGCTCACAAGACTACTGAATATTTGAAACAGTTAGGCTGTGATGGACCTCAAAAAATGAAGTGGCCAGCAAATTCTCCGGATTTGAACCTAATCGAAATCCTTTGGAGCATCATGAAGATAAGACTGTATGCCAACGGACGACAATTTAGGAGCAACGCTGAGTTGTGGAAAGCAATTCTTGACATATCTCACAGCATTATAGCAAATGACATCCTACAATTAACAAATTCTATGGATCGTTGACTTCTTCAAGTAATTTCAAAACAGGGAAAGCACATTCCCTATTAATTTGTTTAAAACTGTGCCTTTGTTTGTATCTGTTATTATTTGTTTGATTATCTTATTTATAAGCTTCTTTTGATCATAAACATTCACGTGCAACATTAATAAATGTTTTGTTTGCTCAATTCTGGGAATTCTACTATACCTTCCTAATAATTTGGCACGCTGAAATCACTGTACTGATAAAAAATATGGCACCAGTTTGTTTACATTCTGCAAATCAGTACGAAAATTTCAGTCATACTTGCTCAGTGTTGCCAACATTGTGTGAAAATTTTGTGTGAATTGATTGGACAGTTTTTGAAATATTAGAAAAAAGTTATCTCGATAATAATTTGGCACGCAGTATATACTATATATATATTTTTGGTATACATTATCAGAAAACTATTTAATTTACAAAACCTTTACAGCAACATTTAACTAATATTTTACATCATATTCAGAACAAAATAATGGAAATGAACCTCAATACATTGAAACAATACACAGTTCACTTACCAAATCTAATCCCAGGTTTTATTAATCATTGCAAAATAATATATCCTTTAAAGATTCCCATAATATAGAGTGAGAAAATAATGTTTCATTCTTGGTTTGTATCTAAGTGTATTATACACCAAGAAAAGTAAAATTCACCAGTAACAATTCTAGACTCAATTATGCTGATGATGAGAAGTTATAAGTGTCCACTTCACCAACAGGCCAAGATGAATGAAAAATTAATTTGAAATTAGTAAATGATCCTAAGTACTTTTATTTAACTATTTTGATGACAAGTTAATGCTTAATACAAATTGCAAATGACAATCTTTTGGCAGCATGTGGCTTTCATTGGAAACTAATGTTGGCTTTTCTTGACACTAAGAAAGTTGTATTATACTCAGAAGGTTATTTTACTCAAGTATTCTTGTTGTTTTTCTTCATATATAATTGTGAAATGTTTTATGAAAATTTCATTAATACCCAAACAAATTGTCTATGCATGCATTTTTTATTAAACTTGGTAAAACAATTTTATTTACAACAATGTAAATAATCATTTATGCTAATATTCTACTTCTAACTGCAAATTCAGGAATGAAAGGTGGAAATCAACCTGAATACGTCAAAATTATAGACAAGCCAACTGCCAAAGGTAATAATAGGTTTTAGCAATCATTACTAAATAATATATGTTTCAAAGATTGTCACAATGCAAAGGAAAAACATCTTTTTTCTTTTGTTACTGTAAAGATATAACCATTGTAATTTATGTTGTCTTTCTCTTCCCTGTTATAACTGCTTATCTGTTTCTGAATATCCTTACACATAATTGAACATACCTCTTTTATTAAATAGATGTTATTTAACTTACATACTGATATCAATAGACTAACCAAAATGTCTGTTACATGCTGTCTAACAAGCTTTTGACACTTGATTATACTTGAAAGAATTATCTTGCAATGTGGGAAGTAGGAAATATTTCATCATAGTTTGGTTGTGAAACAGACGATCTTTGTGGGTGATAGTAAAGATAATGCTGATATGGCAATTCCTTTTGGCATTGAATGTGCTTCTTTTGGTTTTGTTATTAGATATATTCTATCATGTCTTATATAACCATTTACAATCAAGACTATGAACAAACAGGTATTGTGATGTTTCCCATCCTGACTTATTTTTGTTTTTGATAAAGATAGAAATCCTGGATTGTAAAGGTTTTGCTTCTCTGATAGATTAATAGATAGTGAAATTGTTGCATTGTTTCATCTATTCTTTTTTAAATTGTCAGATTTGGGAATGATTGCAGGAAGAGATAGAAAAAATGAATTTTCATTTATGTGCAATGTCCCTTCAATATATTAGAGAACATGACTCTCCACAACTTCTTAGGTCTTATGAAAACTTTACAAGTTGTAATGGCAAAATACTGGGAAACTTCAGTAGATCTACCTACATAGTCATACCAATGCAGTCAGATGCAAATGAAAGTCTACTATATTAAGCCATGAACTTAATGTGCCAACTAAATTTAAATAGAGCCCATAGCAGAATTAAACCAGAAATAGGATTCAAACAGTGTGACATTTATTCAAGATACTGGAACAAGAAATGCTATTAGTCTATGCAATACAAATACTGAAAATCCTATAAGGAGTTTCATAGATTACAAAAAAGCATTTCATAAAGTACAATAGATTCATTCTTTGTTCTTTAATCTTCATTTCTTGGGGAATATCCAGAATTATGTTTTACTTAAGAGTAAGTTTTTTTCTCTCATTTATTTTTTAAATATTTTACTAATTTTTTCATTACTTCATAATAATCTTTTTCTATGAATTTGTGAAGACAATCTTATTTTCAAAAATATGAATAACTATTTAATTCTAGTATAACATTCTACTTTTATTGTATATTTAGGGCAAGCGGATGGAAATCAGCCTCAATGCACTGAAATTTAAAACTGTTCACCTATCAAAGGTAATTCTAAGTTTTATCAATCAATACTAAATAATATAAAGATAAAAACTTTCCTTATATTGAGAAAACAATTGTTTTCTGTGTAAGTAATAAGCTGCAAAGTACTGAGACTTTGGATTTAAATTCCTCTAAATTTTAAAGTTCAAAATATCAAGGTACTTTCATACTTGCAATGCTAACAATAACATCTAGTAAGAATCTCTTATCATATTATCTATACCACATAACTGTAATATGCACGATAAATTAGCAAGTTTATCATAAATGCTGTATATTTCCTTTTCCAATTGAGAATTGAACCACAAACCTGCGGCTTCTAAATAAAACTTTCCTGAGGTTTTTCATTTTCCTTAATATTTTATTAAAAAATTATCCTAGTCAGCGTTTGACCTTTCATTTTCTTATAAAACTGCAAAAAAGATTATATAAAATATATATCTGAATAATTTTAAGTTCAGAAATGAAAGGACAAAAAACTATTGAGACCTATTTACTTCAGAAGAACATGTTCAGAAAAACAACAATTTTAAGATTATATGAACATGATAGAAAGTTTTTACTAAATAATACATGCAGTGTATTAATTATTCATTGTAATACATCTAACCATATGTTCAACTCAAAGAATATATCTCTGATTAAATGAGAAACATATTTATTAAAGCAAAATTAAGTAATTGTCTATAGATTATTTCTTTAAAATGTAATTTTTAACTAACAAATTTTTAAATAGCAATATTAATATTAAATGTAATATTATTATTAAATGTAACATGTGGTCATTATGCCTACTTGTTCTGTCCAAATACCAATATGTGGCTCTGATTATGCACTATAAAAAGAAAAACATGTCCCCCTCTCTCTGTCTCTCTCTCTCTCACACTCTCTCTCTCTCTATCTCTTTTCCTTGAAGATGTAGCAACACACAGACAAAGGTATCACAGCTGGTTAACATTAATTTAACTGGCTGAATGATGAATTGAACTCTTATACGCACACACACACAATTGTTGATAGCTATGGGTTATGTCTTTTTTCCTTTTCAGTTGTGTATAAAAACATGTTCCCCCCACTCTCTCTCTCTCTCTGTTTTCCTCAAAGATGTAGCAACACTCAGACAAAGGTATCCAAGCTGGTTAACATTAATTTAACTGGCTGAATGATGAATTGAACTCTTACACACACACACACACAATTATTGATAGCTATGTGTAATGACATTTTTTCTTTTTCAGTTGTGTATACATGAATGTATTTTCTCTCTTCTTAATGCATTTAATAACTGCTGTTTGTTTAAATTACTTTTTTACTTTACTTGTACCCAAATTCACATGAGTTCACCAAATATTTTTTTGCAGTACAAATGTACCAAGAGACATTAAAAGAATAACCTATATTCTCACAAAAAGTATTCACTTTTAATTTAAGATCTTGACATTACCAAATCAAAATATTATTGACAATTTTGTCAATTTTCTCATCATAAAAACTTTTACTATTAATATTACTAAGATTTAAAAGAAAATTTGATCAGCCTTGAAATAAGAACTTTTGCTTCAGATCAGAAAGAGTCATATGAAATTTTCAGAATAAATAATGTGGAAAGAGGGTTTGGAGATTTTGATACTCACAAGAACTTACTGAATGGAAAACAGGCAGAGGGAAGTAACATTCCTAATGACTTTGTATAAATGGATGACAAAACATCATCAGGGTGGAATGGAAAGGTGAAATCCATTGTATAGTGCTACAAAGGGAAGGAAGATATCAAAAGCTAAGATTCTATTTGCTCTGCAAGGACATGGCACATAAAAGTAAAAGTATCTTTTGTGTAACAACCAATATCCATCTTAGCTTGCAGTATTATTCTCAAGGCAGTTTCAAGAAACATTGTACCAGCCACCTAGCTGCATAAAAATTGTACTAATTTCTTTTCACAAACTTGTGATCCTTGTTTGACAGCTACATCTATACTATATAAATATTTTTGGTATACAATATCAGAAAACTATTTAATTTTCAAAACCTTTACAACAACATTTAACTAACATTTTACATCATATTCAGAACAAAATAATGGAAATTCTTAGTAAGAATCTCTTTTTCTATTATCCATAATATCCAACTGAATTATGCACGGTAAATGGCATGATTGGCAAGTTTATCAGAAATGCTGTATATTTCCTTATTGGTTCCAGTGTTGAACTACAAACTTTTGACTTTTAAATAAAACTTTTCTGAGGTCTTTCTTTTTCCTTGAAGTTTTATTAAAAAATTTTCCCAGTCAGTATTTGACCATTTTTCTTATAAAAATATCAAAAAGGTTATATAAAAATATATATCTGAATAATTTTTATGTTAATAAATGATAAGACAGAAGTCTATTGAGACCCATTTCCTTAAGGACATCTTCAGTCAAATAACAATTTTTAGATTATATGTACATTACAGGAAACTTTTTCAAAATAATACACTATTAGTTATTCATTTGTATTAGTTATTCATTGTAATACATCTAACCACAATTTCAACTCAAAGAACATATTTCTGATTAAACGAGAAAGGAATTTTTAAGGCAAAAATTTGTTTATATTTTTTTTCATCATTTCATTCTAAGCAAAGCAATACAGTGACTAAGGGGTTACTGAATATGAAAGAATATGAAAAAACATTATTAAGGACAGTGAATAATAAAACAAGGATAATTAAGGAAACTGATGATAAATACTGATATTGATATTCTGTTTAAGCTTTTGTAGGTTAAAGTAAACTGGAAAGCAAGAATCCAGTGAAAAGCATAAAAGAAGAAAATTTTAGCATAAAATTTGCAGTCACATGCAGCCATTTCAAATGTAAAATAACAAGACTTTGCTGCCAATGTGCTGAAATTCATAAAAGTCCATCACAACAATTACCATGAAAATATTTATAGAGAAAAGTACAGGGAAGATTTGTTGTGGTGGTGGGAAAGTGAATGAATGCCAGGTCAGGAACAATAACATTGCAGATTTTTCTTTGAATTTTATCCAGAATCTCTAAATACAAAGGAAAAAGAACTAGGCCAGGCCAGGCCAGGACAGGACAGGCCAGGATAGGACAGGCTAGGTATGGCAGCAATAATTTACTTATCTACTATCTATATTTCTCATGTTGTCTGTCTGTGTGTCTGTCGTGGGTGTTGTTACCTCGCCCAGGCCGCATTTCTCACCCGATTTCGATGTGGTTTTCAACACAAGTTTGCAAATGGCTGCCGTAAGGACATGAAGGAGCCCGATTTTTGAGTTCGGAATCAGGTTCTGAAAAAATCGATAATAGAAAAAATTCTGCTTACAGAAGGAATGATTGCATTTCAACCAAATTTGACACCCTCTTAGAGTCTACCATTAGAAGTGTTGTCAAGAAGTTTCATGACCACGGCCCTCTAAACAGCGTGGAAAATCAATAAAGCCCAAAAACCAATACGCCCAGATTGTGTCTGAACCGCATGTCGGTTTTTAGCGAAAACCAAGCGGATTTATGAAGAGGCCATTGGGAGTCATCATGTGAAGTTTCAACTGAGCACCCACCAAACAGAGTGCAAATCAACAATCGGTCAACCCTTAAAAATGTTTTTTCCGGTTTTTTAAAGCTGATCGTATTGTGTTTATTTTGTTTAGTTCTTTTTTTCGTAACAGATTTAATGTTTACTATAGAGCTTAGAAAAAGTTGGCAGTGTGATATAGGCAAGAAGTAAGGCATTTAACAACATCAGCATGGCAAAGGGCACTCCTCTAAAGGCAAGGAAGGGCAAAAATATTTTAAGTCAAGTGATAGCGATTGCTGTATTAGTCGTATTATTTTTTAATCAAGCACGGGCAACGCCGGGCCATGCTGCTAGTTAATAATATTAATTTAAGAATTTTCTATATTAAAATTACCCCCAGGATCAAACATAACTTATTTCTTCACAGATTCATGACTAATGCAGTTAAAAATGACAACAGTAAAAATAAGTGATAGAAAACTTAATTAAAAATTTAGTTATATCAAACATCAAAATTAGAATTAGAATCTTGAGCATCTCTGTAATTTTAACATTTACTTTAATGTAAACAGTACATATATTTTTCACTTCTTTTTTTATATAGGACTGATTTCATCAATAAACCCATTAATTATCAAAGGTCATTTAACACATCAGAACATAGTTTTCCATCTTATAAAACTGGGCAATATATTTTATATATAAATTAAAAATGAGAAATTGAAATTAACATAAATAATTAACATAAATTGGCATGGACATATTATCTTTGCCAAAAGAAATTCTTTATTCCTGGATGAATGGATATGTGGATATTGTTCATGAAATTTTATATTTTTTACTAAATTTATGATGAAAATATACTTTAATATATATTTATTTTTCTGGCTTTGATTGAAGAATGTATAGAAAACAATTTTGAATGTCAAGAAAATTGGTAAATGTTTTTCTTATGCTGATTAAAAAAAAGTTTTCAACCAAATTGTTGCTTTAGTAAAAAAAAAATATTCATGTTTCATTTTTATTTTATTTAGGTCATCTGGATTATGAAGATTTGGGGAATTAAATGAACATCTTTCAAGGCATTTATTTTCCTTTTAATACATTTATCTATGTATCTCTATAACTATATATTGGAGAGTTTCTGAAAAGTTCCAGGCCAACTCCTCTTCTTAAAAGCCATATTTTAATATTTAATCACTAATCACCAGCAAAGAATCAGCCTAAAAACGTTTCATTTTTTGTCTCCTTTATTTTCCTTTTAATACATATATTGATATATCAAGTACATATACAAAGGGTTTCTGAAAGTTTCAAGACCAAGTCCTCTTCTCAAAAACAGTATTTTAATATTTTAATGATAAGATTTTCTTTGATAAATGAATAGAATGAGATGTAATGTCAAGAATTTTGTTTTATTGAATAATATCTTTCTAAGTAGAAAATGATTTTAAAATG